TTTTGATAAGGGTATCATGTTATATAAAAAGTTAACACTAAGAGAAGCATGAATGAATATAGAATGTATAAAGAAATTCTGTACTATCTTTACAACTTCTGTAAATCTAAAATTATTTAAAATGAGTTTTAAACTATTTTCCATATGAAAAGAAGTGAGGGGCTGGTCCAATGGTAGTGGGTTATCAGGACTTATTAACATTAGTGTCACTAAAGTTGGTATACAACCCCCCACTGCTAAATTTGACTGGCCTTAAAAAAAAGTGAGGAAAGTTACAGATTTTTTAAAGATATCTAACTATATGCAAACTAATAAAATATGTTTATAATAATAAGATTAACTTTTTTTTTGAGAGGAAGTCTCGCTCTGTCCCCCAGGCTGAGGCTGAAGTGCAGTGACTCCATCTCAGCTCACTGCAACCTCCGCCTCCTGGGTTCAAACAATTCTCCTGCCTCAGCCTCCCAAGTAATTGGAATTACAGGCACCCACCACCAAACTCAGTTAATTTTTGTATTTTATTAGAGACAGGGTTTCACCATGTTGCCAAGGCTGGCCTCAAACTCCTGACCTCAGGTGATCTACCCATGTTGGCCTCCCAAAGTGCTGGGATTACAAGTGTGAGCCACCACTCCCATTCTTTTTTTTTTTTTTTTTTTTTTTAATAGAGACAGGGTCTCACTATGTTATCCAGGCAGGTGTCAAACTTCTGGCCTCAAGCAATCCTCCATCTCAGGCTCCCAAAGTGCTGGAATTACAGGCATGAGCCACTGAACCCTAGGATCCCCCTTCTTAACCTAAACTGTCACCTCGGTGGCTCTTACCTGTAATCCCAGCACTCTGGGAGGCCAAGGTGAGTAAATCATGAGGCCCGGAGATCGAGACCATCCTGGCTAACATGGTGAAACCTTGCCTCTACTAAAAATACAAAAAATTAGCTGGGTGTGGTGGCACACACCTGTAGTCCCAGCTACTCGGGAGGCTGAGGCAGGAGAATCACTTGAACCCCTGAGGCGGAGGCTGTGGTGAGCCAAGATCTCAGCACTGCACTCCAGACTTAGCGATAGAGCATAATTCTGACTCAAAAAAAAAAAAAAGCCTTAATTCTCCTCAACTCACTCACTCCTAGCACTAAGTCTACAATAACCTGGTTCTTTTTTTTTTTGAGACGGAGTTTCGCTCTTGTTGCCCAGGCTGGAGTGCAATGGCGCGATCTCGGCTCACTGCAACCCCCACCTCCTGGGTTCAGGCAATTCTCCTGCCTCAGCCTCCCGAGTAGCTGGGACTACAGGCACGCGCCACCACACCCAGCTAATTTTTGTATTTTTAGTAGAGACGGGGTTTCACCATGTTGACCAGGATGGTCTCGATCTCTTGACCTCGTGATCCACCCGCCTCGGCCTCCCAAAGTGCTGGGATTACAGGCTTGAGCCACCGCGCCCGGCCCCTAACCTGGTTCTTAAAGTGCTGTTCAGAAAGACAAAGTGAAATCAGTGATATTTACTTGGTTTCCTTTTCAAATTGACTAAATAAATGAACTGCCAAGATGCCTTCCACTGGGTCGAAATGTTCCTCTCAGATTTTCTCACATCTTAAGAATATCTAAAACCTATATAGCAACTACTCATTAATCTTTAAAAAATCATTAATTAAAAAAAAAAGTGATTCCAAAAATTTTAACTGCCAAGAGCAAAAGTTTACAGAGCCAAAGGATGGATCACCAAATTCAGAAACAAGATTAGGAAAATAACAAGATAGTATGAGATCAGGAAGAACCAACTCTCTGACTAAAGCTAAGCCACCTATATATAAAAAAATCCAGGTGCTTCCTTCACTGTCAAGGAACAATGGAAAATTACTGTAATACAAATTTATTTGTATATTTGAGAATTTTAACAAAGAAATGCTAGAATGATGAATATATGAAGAGACAACTTAAAAAACAAGTAACACAGAGTAGGAAAATGTGTTAAGACATCCCCCAGCATTGTATGTGTGTTTTTACATAGGGGAAAAGGGAAATTCACCAGACTTTTGCTACTTGATTAAAATATCCCCTAAGGCCAGGCAAGATGGCTGGTTCCTGTAATCCCAGCACTTTGGGAGGCAGAGATGTGTGGATCATTTGAGGTCAGGAGTTCAAGACCAGCCTGGCCAACATGGTGAAACCCAGACTCTGCTAAAAATACAAAAATTAGTGGGGTACGGTGGTGGGCACCTGTAATCTCAGCTATTCAGGGCCTGAGGCAGGAGAATCGCTTGAACCCGGGAGGTGGACATTGCAGTGAGCTGAGATCATGCCACCGCACTCTAGTGTAAATGACAAAGTGAGGCTTCATCTCAAAAAACAGAATAAAATAAAAATAAATGGCCAGGTGTGGTAGCTCACACCTGTAATCCCAGCACTTTGGAAGGCCAAGGCAGGCATATCACTTAAGATCAGGAGGTCGAGACCAGCCTAGCCAACATGGTGAAACCTGCTCTTTACTAAAAATACAAAATTAGCTGAGTGTGGTGGCACATGCCTGTAATCCCAACTACTCAGGAGGGTGAGGCAGGAGAACTGCTTGAGCCCAGGAGGCAGAGGCTGCAGTGAGCTGAGATCCTACCACTGCAACCTAGCCTGGACAACAGAGCAAGACCCTGTCTCAAAAATAAATAAGGCTGGGTGCGGTGGCTCACACCTGTAATCCCAGCACTTTGGGAGGCTGAGGAGGGTGGATCACTTGAACTTGAGGTCAGGAGTTCGAGGCCAGCCTGACCAACATGGTGAAACCCTGTCTCTTAAAATAAATAAATAAAATAAAATAAATAAAATAAAATAAAAATTTTTAATACCCCCTAAGAATATCTAGTGCCTTTCCAATTCTATAATCAACTACCTTTTTACTACTGATTAGGCAGCCCAGAACAATGGAGGTGTCCTGGTCAGTGGATTAATTAAATCCAATTGTGCACATGGCACTTAATGCATCCAACATACATTAACTGGTATCTGGTTTGTCGGTCTCTGGTGAGTTTGTTTACTTTGCATTAATAAATTCTCAAGCACTTGAATCATCCCAATGTGAACCACAATTCTGAAGTTTCTGAACTACTATGTGGGGGTTGGAGAGACCTTGGTTTGGATACCACTTTAGCCACTTAACTATCTGTGTGACCTCTTATTCCCATCAGTCTCAATTTCCTCGTGCCTGGGAGATGGTAAGTGCTAAAAAAGTGACAGCTTTATTATTTTGCAGCTAAATTTGAAATGAAGAGTATAACTTGAGGTGAAAACATTTCATTTGAAAATAGTACGGATGATCAAACTACATCAATTTAAAAGACATCAGCCTAAAGAGAGATGTCCCAATCTATAGAGTTGAGAAAAGCAAAGTTTAAAAGTTGCAAGTAAAGTACACACTACACAGTACAGATGGGAGTCTCCTGCTTAGCAACTCTGATAGTGTCTACCAAACACCCAGCCTGTAATAGAGCATGACAACTGTTCACTCTAAATCCATGTGCTCAGCTTGGATTCAGGGTTGATTTATAAAAATAGCTGCTGCTGGTGCTCTTTGAATCTCTTTGCGCTGATGACTGGGCAGTGTTACCCTACAGGCCTAGAGCAGCTGTATTCCCTCACCACACCCATTTCTCTGTCTACTCAGCCAAGCTGACGGCACCCCGCCCCCCCTCCATCTCTGCAGCATACTATTCTCCCTCCTCTTGGGCTGAGTGAGCAAATTACAAGCACAAATATCCCCTGATGCAATGCCACAACCATCCCTGGGAAAGAGCAGAGGCAGTTGCCAAAAGCACAGCAGCAGGGAAATGGGCGGGTAAGTGCGTGTGCGCGCACGCACGCACGCGCGAACACACACACACACACACACACACACACACACACACACAC